ATGCTGCAATGTAACTTGGATATTGTAGAGACAAAGGCAAATGAAGGTATTTAGGACACTAGCATGAGAATGCCTTGTGAGTTTGGTGTGCATTTAGGGTTCTTTTAATTTATATATTTAAAAGATGAGATGAAGAGTGATAAACTGAGTGTCAGTATCTTAGGTTTTTCTTTGTTGAGTACAAGTGTCTGGCTTTCTGTCCTGGCCTTCCCAGACATGGGCTGGAAGATGACACTTGCTTTTGCCTTTCTTGCTTCTTCCAAGTCTCCTCCTTGACTGCACAATGGTAGTTTTCCAGATAGAGATGTTTGATGTGCTGAGTTAAAAAGGAAATTTGATGGAAATTTGGAGACTACAGTTGAATTTTCTATGTCATTTGATGGAAGTGAATGGGCAAAATCCACTTGAATCTTGAGTCTGTTGGTACTGAGTGGCCAGGGATTCCAGCCCTGTTATGAATTTAAAGGGAAGAGCTTTCCCGGAAAGCACCAGAATGATGATTCTTTAAGTGTTATAGAGTAATTTTCAAAAACAGAACATCAAAGTATATAGGGATTGAGAAATTCTACAAGATCAGCAATGTTTTGCAATGGAATGAAATGAAGAGTCACACTAGAGATGAGGATGCTTGTTTACACATGCCAAGTGTATTCGCCAAATGAGACAGAGGCGTGGAGACCAAGAAATTATTACCTAAGGACCATGGTTTTATCTCAGACAAAACAAGGTATTTTTCTTGGACTATCTTCAGTTCCCCAAGATAACCTTACGGGAATATACAACTGTAATAAAGACACTTCAGCCTATCAAATCCATTCCTTGAGATATGACACGTGAAATAATATTGCTTAGTTATGAGATAAAGTTTAGCAGGAGAGGTTCAAAGTCTGCACTGAAATACATGTGTAAATCTGTGCAGGTGAATTCCCCTTCTCCCAAATCTAGCTGGGATAGGATCACAGGTAACATCTTTTAGAAAGACAGGTGGCAGATGGGGAGCCCTATCTTTAAGTTCTTGAGTGCAAGGAGAACTGTATAACTAAGAGGCTCTTACAGAGCTATTTCACTGTGTAACAATTCACGTGCTCATCACTGCTCTGTCAGGGATCAGGTTCTAGCCTTGTATATTGTATTTAGCTTTTACATCTTTGAGTGGTCATATGGAAACAAAATACCCCAAGTTTGCAGAGTAGGACTGATGTAATTTCCACGGTGATTCACCATGTAGGCCACCTTTGTTAGGTAATTTGCTTTGTGTGGCAAGAATAGAAGTCAAGAATGTGTGAAGCCAAGAAGCAGTGTAAAGTGCACTTCCCTTTGAAGTGCTCCAGCAGTGAATGTGTTAAATGTTTTCATCAGAGACTTAAAAAAAAAAAGGCAAGAAAAAGTTTACTTTCTTAAAGAGAGTGAAAAGCCTCTCACACCTAGGAGAGTAGGAAAGAAGGAGTACACCGTTCCCTTTTTCACAGCTTTTAATCTTAAAACAATGTAATTCTCAGTCGCTGGGGGCAGAGCCCACTGAAACGGGACCTCCCTCACAAAACTGCCGGGATCCTCTTATTTCCACCCCGAGCAAAGCAGGCGCCTTCTCGAAAGGAGTGAAAGTCTCCCAGCTCCTCCGGCGGCACGGGAATAACCATGTCCACGGGGAAGATCTGCTGCCTGGTGCTGCTGACCCTGGGGGTGCTGGCGGTGGCCGTGACACTCGTGGTCATCCTGACCCAGCCCCGGTGCGGTCCCCAGCGCTACCTGCACGGTGCCGTGGCTGCCGACACCGAGACCTGCTCTAACATCGGCCGGTACGTGCGCGGACCTCTCGGCTTTTTGGGTCACTTGTCGTGTATGTCGTGCCTCGTGCTGACAGACAGGACAAGCACTAACCACGGGAATGTGCCGGGTTTCTGCCCGTCCCCGCTTTGGGGCTGAGCAACGATGCTGGTCCCTGCGTGGAGCAGCTCGGGGGGCAGACGGAGCCCCTGCTCTGAGGTTGATGCTCATTTTCGTTGTCCAATGTCGCAAAAATTTGCAGCTCTGCAAACCCATGGATTTTTGGAGGGTATAAATATTTATAGTATAAAAATACAAGGCTGTTTTTAAGTGGGGAAGTGGGAAATTTACTGTTCACAGCGTGGTGATGGGTCGGGTAAGTGGCTTAGAAATAAGAAGTTGGAGGAGCTTGCAGAGAGCTGCAGCTGGGCTTCAACAGAGGCAAGGAAGGTCAGGCTGAGAGGGAAAGGAGGACTGTGCATCCCAGTCTTTAGTAGGGGATATGTTTCTGGACTGAAGCCTGCAGCAGGTGTGTCTGGTATGAAGAAAAAAAGCAAGGAGCAGATTTAATTGAAATTAATCCAAGACAGTATAAGTACAAAAGACATACTTACATCACTTGGAAAGAAAGATGTAGATTAAAAAAATTCTCCAGCTGCCGAGGTTGTGCCACTCCAGTTTGTGTAATAACTTCTCTCTTAAATATTTTGACTCCCATGTTATTATTTTACTGTTACTGTTCCTACTGTTATTAAATGCTTGTATACACAAAAGCAGAAGGATGCAAGTTTACACGCTGTGTGTGATGCTGGATGCTCCAGCAATGGATGCTGGAGCTGTGTGCTCTACTTTGTGGCTGGAGGAGTGAGATGTGGTGCCCTTATACCACACTTTGCCATGTCTCTCATGGGATTCTTGCAATGACATGTTGACACAGCAATGACCAAACCCTAAAGCTGAAACTAAGTGTCAGGAAGGACCTAGGACTAGACGTCCTTATCAGATCTTGTCAGCTGTAGCACTGAGGTATCTCTACAGAGGTAGAGCACCACACTTTGATTGAGGGTCATGTGTCTCTCTAGGAGTTTGCGCTACAATTAAACTCATTGCAGCAGTGATCCCTATAAAAGGAGATAAGTAATTGGACAGGGTGTGGTCTGGATAGATGAGAAAGATAATGGTCCTAAATTCCCCAGGCATAGCCTCCAGGGAAGTGGCAGATTTCTGTCTGAAAGTGGGTGAGCCATACTCAGAGAGCCATGTGTGACATACCAAGAGCCAGCTCAGAGAGTGTTTTCTGTTGCGTTTCAGTCTCCAGAGAGGCTGGAAAGATGCTGAGATTGAGGGCCAGTCTGCAGACTGGGATGAAGATCTTCATCAGGGAATGCTCCTCCAGGCACGAGTGTTTCTGAGGACATGGTGAGGGGTGTATGGCATTGGTTTCAGAGGGACAGTGGCAGTACAAGATATGCAACCTCTTACACAATTGTGAATGTGGCTGGAAAACTTGTGTGAGAATTTGGTGTTTTTCAGGCTTTGAGAAAATGTACCTGATGTTACATGTTAAGGTCTTAATGCATTGCATTGAAATGCATACCATACGATCTCAAAGTTTCTTTTTAAAGTTGTTCTTCACTGCAAAGTATCCCAGAACCATGGTTTTCCCTGACACCAGGCTTTGTACATGTGCTGCTCCATAGCCCATAATCCAGGGGCTCTGGGGAGCACTATCCCAGGTGAGTGTAGTGGTCCTTCTTCCCTCTTTTCCCAGCCTTCTAACCTGCTGTCTTGGGCCTTCTGCGGAGGTGACTCGGTTTCTCAGGAAGCCCTGATCTCTTTTGTCATCAGTTAAAAGCTTCAGTTTCAGAAGAACACCATGCAGGGACATTGGTGTGGTGAGTCCATCCCCTGCTGCAAGGAGATGGATGGGCAAGCCTGAGCCTCAGTCTCCAAGTTCAGAGCTACAGCCAGGGAGCAGCTTGCTCCAGGGAGGACAAAAGACATGCAGGCCCCAACAGAAAGCCCCGTGGTTCCCTACCATTTCTTTTCTTCCCACTTGTCCACATGCCGTTTTCCTTACGGGCAGTGGTTCCGAGGCATTTACGAAAACAAAGGAAAGCCACAATCAGTGTTCCTGCTGGCAGCATCCTGTTCCCAGCCCCAGCAGGACCCAGCCATATCAATGGATGTAAAATAAACAGCAGTCCCTATGTTTGCTTTGTGTTCCCGTGCAGCCTCTGCTGCAGTTGCAGGGAGCAGTTGCACTGCAATTAATGAACAATTACATTTTCCCTTCTGGCTTTGCCTTATCTGAGCAATAACCCAATAAAACAGTCAGAAACCTTCCTAGCAAACACAGAGCTGGCTACTGGCATGGTATGCAGGAAACACCACCCCATTTCCACTGCAAGGAAAAGATGTTTTTCAGCTGTGCTTGATTCCTCAAGAAGAGCTTGTTGAGACACATTTCTGTAGCAGAACCTCATTGCTGTCAGCAGCATGAGGGTATCTTAATGCCTGTGTGTTCTTTGATGTGGCTGTGCCTAGTTAGTAACAGTTGTGGGATTTTACTGTTTGTTTTTTTCTATTTCTTTGTTGGTTTTGCCTTTGGGAATACAGGGAGATGATGGGGGTGTTTTTGTGCTAATATCACATAAGCCCAGAAAGGCATGCTGGAGGAGCAATGAAGTTACTGTTGTGCTAATTGACACGTTAAGTCTCAGGAGTTTGCTTCACATGGACCCATCATTCCTGCTTCAGTGCCCCGTCCAGCTGACCAGCATATACCTTTTTATTGGGAATGGCACTTGGGGACAAAGGGATCAGTTGTTTGGTTCCCAGCATGTGGAAACTCTCTCCTGTGCATCCTCCTCCACATCTGGGAACTCCTTGCCATCCCCTTTTGTCAAAAGCATTTGTGAGCAGCTGCAGTTCTCTCTGTCCATAACTCCCAGAGGAAGACCAGCCTCACACAGGTCTGGTCCCTGGTTGCTCTTTCCTCCTGCAGACTGCCCCTTCTTTCCCTCTATCTCTTCCTTCTCACTCCCACAAAGGAAGGCTCCTCTCTGTGCTCTCACACCCCACACTGCTGCCAGGAGCTTTTTCCACCTGCTACCTGCTCTCCTCAAGCTGGGGCTGCCTTGCAGGGGCCCCAAGGAGGCATTTTCACATGGTTCCTCCATTCTGTCATTCTTGGATTTTAACACTGTCTTTTTTCTCCCTTTCCACCACAGGGACATCCTGAAAAGTGGAGGCACAGCTGTGGATGCTGCCATTGCTGGCTTGATCTGCACCTCGGTGATGAATCCTCAGAGTTCGGGCCTGGGTGGTGGGGTCATATTTACCATCTATAATGCCAGCACAGGTATGGGCCAGCCCTGGCCTCTCCATGGTGCCCTGTCCCTGTGCAGACACCCAGCTGCTGTGGAGAAGCCAGAATCCTTCCTGTTCTCTCAGAGCAATATTTTGAATATAAAAGCTGCATCCTTCGATCACAAACCAGGCTTCCCCTCCTAACCCAAAGCATCCATCACATGGAGCTGTGATCATCATTTTACAGCAAGGATGTGTGTAGGGAAGAAAGAGCTTTGATATAAAATGAATTGAGTTTGCCTCTCCAAAGCAATCCCAAATTTCAAAGTCACACAGCAGACTGCAGTAAGGTGTGAGCAGTGCTGAGATGCCACTGGTCTGCCACGGAAGCAGAAAGGAGCAGAGTGAGGCGTGTGCTGGAAATGAGTTCATCTGAGCCCTTGGGCTGGGACTTCAGGGGCTCATCATGCCCCAGCAGCTCAGGCAGTGCCTACTGACATGGGGGCTGCATCTCACTGCCCTTGCTGGCATGGGAATTCCCAGCAGGGAAGCAGCAGGGAGACCTGTCCCAGGAGATGCCTCTTCACTTCAGAAGTCTAAATCTGACAATGTTCGGGGCCTGCTGGGAAGCCTTCCTGTGTTTGGCTTAACCTCTAATGCTGTATTCTTGCTTTTATGTTTTTAATGTGGGGGGGTTTTAAGTCTTGGCTTCCAAAAGCCCCCAGAGCTTACAGATCTAAATAGTAAAATCAACAATGAAAACAGTAACAATACCAGAATCTTAAAACCCCTGCCAAGTAGTCTTACAGAGTCATGAATCTGGAAACACTTGGCTGCGTATCATGCAAAAGCTTAATTTGGCAGAACACCTATATTTTTTTCCCTTTCCTTTTGGCAGAGGTAACTTTGTTTCCTGACAACAGTTCTCTTCTGCTACCTGAGTTATGCTGCACAAAGCTGCCCATGGCCCTGCACAGCTCAGGTGCTTTGTACACCAGGGAGCACTGTGGGCTCCTGCAGCACAGCTGGCTCTGGGAACTGTCACAGAAAAGGATAAATGCAAGGCAGAGAAGGAGGCAAAATGATAGGCTAGACCTGAAATACAAGTCTATACGAGTGCAAGTTTTGTTGTGTTTGGCTTTGTTTATATTCTCCTTTTAAGCTCCCTGATACATAGGGGATCTTTCAGTATCACCATTCTGCTTATAAATACGATGGACCTACCTCACCATCACTTGGTAAATGGCCCTCCAAGGAACTTGAGGCTCATGTTATGTCTCTGACATGTCCCACCTGCCGAGGAAGTGCAGGAACCTAAAAATCAGGTGTAGAGCAGCACATTCCAGCCATGTCCCAGGCCCAAGAGCCCTGAGGGGAACCCTAATAGCTGAAGACAAGTCCTGGCCTTGTCCCTGTACCTTCATTGTCTCCAGGTAGGTGCTGTTTGGTTTGCTCTAAATAAAAGCAAGGGAGCAAAGGACAAGGTGTGCTGAGACCTGACCCTGCAGGTGCGCTGGACACACTTATCAAAAGTCTCAATTTAGGACAGCTGAGCTCTGGGCCAGCAGCATGTGTGGTGCTACAGCTGAAAATGTGATGTTCACCTGCTTCAGGAAGACAGTGTAATGCCTTTCCCTCTTCTCCTCTCTAGGAACAGTCGAGGTGATCAATGCCCGTGAGACAGTCCCACGAGTGTTTCCTCACAATTTACTGTCTGGCTGTGGCCCTGGTTTACCCATTGGTAAGGACACAGACTGGGCCATGAGGGATCTGTGCCCTCCTGGCACGCACAAAGCTCAGGGTGGGAAACCGAGAACCTCGCTGACTTCATCTGGAGCTTCATTTAATTTAACACACTCTACCTGGACTGGCTTTTGCAAAAGCAAGAAAAAATACTAGGTCCATAACTAGGTGACACTGGCAGCCTGACCAGCGAGGAGGGTGGGGAGCCAACATGAGGAGAAATCACAATGTAATTTCTCTTCATAGGAAGTCTGCAGTTCAAGACCAGATTTCCCAAAGGACTCACTCATTTCCCAGCAGTTCTTACAGAGAAAAATGAAGTCAATAACTGTTCAGACTTTCTGGAAATGAAAGAAATCAATCTAATGTGCTTGCCCCTGTCCATATGTTGGGGAAGCACCCTGGCACATTGGGATTTGAGTTGCTGGGCTCAGGCACTCTTGCTTTAGCAGCACATCTTGGATTCTCTACATTTCTTGCTCTGTTCATTCTCCTTTCCTAGCACATTTTCTTTTAGTGCATGTCCTAGTTCCTGGAGGAGATGTTCTTATCCTTGGAAGAAGAGCCTGAAAAGGAATTGGGAATAACTGGTTGGAAGGGACGGCTGGAGGTCTCTGGTCCAGCTCCTGCAGAGAGCAGTGATATCAGGGTTAGCTCAGGCTGCTCAGGGCCTCGTCCTGTGATGTTTTTGAGTTTCTCCAAGGATGAAGAACTTCACAGCTTCACTTGCTCTGATGTCTGATCAGGCTCCACAAGTGCTTTGTCTCCAAAATCCAGCTGACACCTCCCTTGCTGCAGCATGTGCCTGTTGCCTGTTTTGCTTTCACCTCACCTCTGAATCTGGCTCTGGCCTCTCTATACCCCTTCTGTTGGACAGTGGAAGAGATACATGAACAAACAAGGGTAATAAACAAACCAAGCCTGCTTTTAGAAGCCTTGGTTGCCTCTACAAACTCACACTTCCATTGGAGTGCTTTGCCAGTGACTTCCTGGGTGTGACACTGCTGCTGTGCTCTTCAGGTGCCCCCTGGATTGGTGTGCCAGGAGAACTCCGTGGGTATGAGGAAGCCCACAAGCGATATGGCCACTTACCATGGAAAGACCTCTTTGAACCAACCATCAAGCTCCTTTCAGAGCCACTTGTCGTTTCCCCAGTTGTGGACAAAATAATCAATCACCCAGACTTCTCCATGCCAGGAAAAAAACTGTGGTAAGACCCATGAATGAAGCTGCAGCTTGAGGACCACTATTCCCTCAGCCTCAGACCCTTTCTCTGAGATGCTGGCATGGAGCACAGGCTGCTGCTGTGGCTTGTGCTCAGGGAATACTTGCTATGGAGTGGGAGGGAATCACAGAAGTGGATTTTTTAAATATTTTTTTTCTGTCAGCAACTTTTTTTTTTTTTTTAATTTAGAGTGGCTTGATGCAGCAAAACAGTCTGCTAAGCATGATTACTGATGAGAAGGATCTGGCTGTATGTGGTCTGCCTCCATCTGTGTGGAAATTGTCCCCTGACAGCAGGGCCCTATGGCAGACACTCGTTTGGAGAAGCCCCACTGACCTGAGCCATGGTCAAAGTGTTGGGTTCTGTGGAGGAAACTGTCTGAGGAAGGAGTGCCTGGTGCTGTGGGTCACATTTGGCTGAGAGCTTTCCTCCACGTAGCCCGCAGTGTAGCACTGCCTTGGAAAGTACATGATGTGCATAAACTAGATCAGCTTTGGGCAGGAAAAAGAGATTATTGGCCCTGGGGACAGAGCAAGCACGTGCAGTAAACTGATGAATGTTCTTCTTTAACAGCCCACTGCTGTGTGATGGTCAAAGGTTTCTGAAGAGGGGAGAGACCTTCAGGTGGCCAGCGCTGCTGCAAACACTGCAAACTGTAGCAGAACATGGAGCCGCAGCATTTTATGAGGGACAGATAGGAAAGGCACTGGTGGAGGATGTCAGGAAGGCTGGTAGGTAACAGCTATAGTCAGTCCTGATAGACAAGCCTTTTCCCAGCTGTTGGCTCTCAGTGAGCCTCTACCAGGGGAAAGCCAACACAAGCCTTTTTCTTGCTGCTTGGGATGGTACCTGGCATGGGAAGAGGCCACCTTTGCCCAGTTCTTATAACTCAGACCCAAAAGCAGCACTGAGACCATCTGCTGCTCTGGCCTTCCCCCCTAGTGTTCATGCAGTGGCCTGTCTGACTCCCTCAGGCTTTGTGACATCCTGGGGTTTGGCAGCAGATCAGGACCCGTGACAATAGTGCTGTGCTTGGTGGAAGGAATTTGGGATATTCAGGGATGCCTCTTCACAGTGCCCTGTTGTAGCCAGCCCACAGCACCAGGACCAGTTGATGTGCTAATGCCAGCCACTGGTTCTCTGTTGAAGGGTCCAGTCTCTCACTGGAGGACCTTCGGATGTACCGAGCAGAGGTGTCCTCAGCTCTGAACATCACCCTCAACAACCACACCACGGTGTTTGCTCCGGGACCGCCCATGGGAGGTGCAGTGCTCATGTTCATCCTCAAGGTATTGGAAGGTAAATTCCTAGCGGAAAAGGGGGAGCAAGAGGTTTTCAGGGAGTGTTGCTCCAGAGTGGTAAACCAGTAATGGGCAGAAATGGAGCTGGCAAGTCAGAATGGGCCCCAGAGCAGCAGTGTGACTGTGCTATGCAGGAGGGTGATGACCTGTCTCACTCATACAATGGATCAGCATCACTGTAGCTGCTGCAAAGGCCAAAGGATACACAATTTTCCCAAGGCTTCAAAAGACATTGAAGTCACAGTGAAAATTAGTACTTGGTTGTTTCTGTGTCTATATCCTACTAAAGCATAGGGGAGACTTGGTAAGAACTGGGGTTGAAAGTGGAGGGTACTTTGAGCTTTTTTTTACTCTTCTTGAAAAAACATTGCCTTGGGTCTATTAACAAAATTATTTCATCCTGCTCCATAGAGTATAAACTCCATGAAGCATCACTGGCAACACCTGAGGAGAAGGTAGAAACCTACCATCACATTGCAGAGGCTCTGAAGTTTGGCAACATGCTAAGACCCCACATGAGTGACCCAGCCTTCTCTAGAGCTCAGGTGAGCTGACACAGTGCATGGATACAGTCCTATAGCACCAAACAACACTCCAACACTCTCCTGCTTTGCAGCCATGGAAAGGAAGAAAATACTTAGAGCTGTTAGTGAAGAGCAGTGTGGCTCAGTTGGCCAAAGCAGAGGCAGGATTATGCTGTTTACTCTGAAGCTTCAGCTCTAGGCTGGCACTCACTTGCCTGATAAAGGACAAGCACATGCCTGTGCCAATGCTGAGGGGCCTCAGTACTGAGCTGGTTTTGTTTTCTGGGATGAGAGTTGCTTGGGGCTGAATGCTGCCAATGCAAGGCCCCAAGCTCTGGCTATTGAGGCTGAATTCCCCAGACCTCCACATACCCAAAGACACGACCACGCTGTGGTGGCACCAGCTCAGTGTCCTTGCTGTGATTGCAGGTGACTGTGGGGACCATGCTGTCTGACAGCTTTGTTGAGCTTGTCAGGCACCGAATAGATGCTCGTGGTGACCACCCACTCAGCCATTACAACTTGTTGGAGTCCATCTACAACGGCAAGTACAAAAGCATGGGCACAAGCCACATCTCTGTGCTCGCTGCAGATGGCAGTGCCGTGTCCGCCACCAGCACCATCAACTACCCGTGAGTAGCCAAGGGTTGGAGACTGAGTCACACAGGCCACGTGTCAGGTTCACAGGGTACCTGCAAGGGCTGTTTACCAGAAATACAGAACCCTTGGGCTTCACTGATTTAGGCAGCTCCTTACTTGTGAATGCCTTTTCCATGTGACAGCAAAGGTCTGTGAGCATCAGCTCCAAGGACCATCACAATTCAGGAGGATGCAAGAACTTGCTGAGCTATTGCTGAGTTTCTGTGGGTTGGGCAAATCCCCACAGGCAATAGTAACAGGGAGTTTGTCTCTGGCAGTAGCAGCAGCAGAAATTCCTTTTGGACACTCTTGCTGGGGCAGTTGCAGGCTGGGAGGAAAAAGAGGTAACCCACAGGGTGCCTTGTTCAGTTAATGTCATCAACAACAGGAGAGCCCTGGGCACTGAAAGGCTTCATCTTTCCCCTCTGCAGGTTTGGCTCCTTTGTGTATTCTAACCAAACCGGGATCATTTTAAACAATGAACTTGCTGATTTCTGCACAGCAAACAGAAGCATTAACCCAGGTGAGCATTCCCATCCTCAAAATAAAGCACAGGGCCAGGAGATGGATACACAGGCTGTGTACAAGTGGGCAGGGACTACCTGTAAACTACAAGTACTCTTTCCTTTCGTAGGTCTGGATGAGAGGAAGTTTGTTTCAGACTAAAAGAGGATAAAGCCCTGTAGTGTGTCTGTCTACTCACATATCCCCTTGCATGGATACACAGGAGTTTTGGATTCTGACCAGAGAAATCAGAAATTAAAAAAAGTGCTGAAGCTGATCACTGATTACTGGGGGGCGGGAAGGAGTGAAGAAACTACTGCTAAGACAAGCTTGCTGACATTTTAGGCTCATCTCTGATTCTAAATATATAGCTACTGCACAGTCAGTAATGCTACAGCCTTGCACTGAGCTCTGTAACACAGCAGTGCTGGTGCAGACACAGCTCTGTGCAATCAGCTATCCCTGGTGCAGGGTCCCTCAGACCTGCCAGGAGAGGACATCATGGCAGGATTGCTGACAAGGGTTCCTCAGCTGGGCTGAATGAGCTGCAGGAGCCCTGAATACTTATAGGATACCCTGTTCTGCATCAAGAGGAGCTTCCTGTTCAGACTGCACCATAAAGGTCCAGCTTCTTGGGAGACAGGCCTTTGGCACAAGGAAACTCATTTTTCTGGAAGTCTTGAGATTCTTAAGGAAGGAGTAGTAGTTTGGTTTTCTGTGGGAAATACTGAAAGGTGAGATAGGTGAACTTGTGTCCCTCCAATCCTGTTAAGAGCCACATGGAAAGAACAATACTCTCTGTCTCTGCTCTAGGAGAGAAGCCTACCTCAGCAATGGTGCCTTCCATCCTCATCTCCAAGACGGGAGACATGCTGGTGATCGGGGGAGCAGGTGGGCGCTGGATTATCAGTGCTACTACCATGGTAAGTGAACAGCTACCACACAGCAACAATTTGCACCAAGCAAGGGGAGCACACACTGTCCTGAACTACTCAGCTCCCCTCAGGTCTTGACGCCATGGTGTTTGTTTTTTTTTTAATTTGCAATTTAGAAGTCGTAAAGGCTGCAGGCTGGAGGCCAGGGAAAGCACTCTGGGAAGAATTATTATGTGTTCACCCTGTTCTTTTACTTACTCTGAGCATCTGATATTGGTCCCCATTAAAGCAGGAGAGGAGGCTGGTAGGACTGGGAGTCTGGCTCAGTGCAGCCTGTTGAACAGTCCAGGTTGCAGGCAGGACTTACAGCAGATCTGCTCTGGCTGAACACCAGTGCAGAGATTGGCAGCATGTGACCCAGGTTCTTTCCGTGTATCTCCAGTCAGGCAGTGTGGGGTTTGGTTCATTGCAGGCAATTATAAACAAGCTGTGGTTTGGCTACGACTTGGAACATGCCATTTCAGCTCCCGTCATGCACACTTTGGGTGACAGTGTCATCTTTGAGGGGCATTTCAGCGAGGTGAGTGGCCTTGATTGGCTCTTCTTGTCTTCTCCTCTTGGTGGAAAGCAGATTGCTCTTGTAACTCTCCTGGATAATCTGTATTTTGCCTCTGCTAACCTCCTTCTTATTTAAATCTCACTTTCTCAACCTGACTCCACATACACATCTTGATTTTCACAACTGCCAACGCTAAGACCTCAGGCCCCTGCTCCATTCACCCCATTTCCTCTTCTCTCCCCCACAGGAAGTTAGGAGTGGCCTGCTGAGAAGAGGACATAAAGAAAAGAAAGATAAATTTGTAATGAATGTTGTGCAGGGAATTTCCAAGGAAGGAAAATGCATCTCTGCTTACTCTGATAAAAGGAAGCTGGGGAAGTCGGCTGGATATTAGCATGGAATGCCATCACAACTCACAAAGCAAAAGGAGATAACTAGATCCAGAACATGCTTTCCTTCAACATGCCCATAATTGCCTGTTCCCACCAAGATGCCTCCTGGAGCATGGGCAAAACCTGTGACTACACCTAATTCCAGCAGACTGCAGGTACCCTCGGGCAGTATAAGGAGAGGTCAGCCAGCCTTGTTTAGAGCTACACCTTCCATTACTTATGTGATATACTGAAAAACATATTTCTTGAGCACATCAGCTACTCAGAATGAGAGAATAAAAAGTGGGAAAGGAAAATTGGTCCAAACCCCACTGGGAACACTGTGAAATGACCCAGCTGTATCTTCTGTTCCTGCTGGAGTCTCAGTTAAGAGTAGAATTGGTTTCTTTCAGGCTGTTCCACAAGAAGTTTATTACTACTGGGGCTCAGCAATGTGAAATACAGAACTATTTTGGCTATGAAGACTACAAGGAGTGTAGGACTGGGAGTCTGGCTCAGTGCAGCCTCTTGAACAGTCCAGGTTTGCACCGTGCTGCAGGCAGGACTTATGGCAGATCTGCTCTGGCTGAGCACCAGTGCAGGGGTCAGGATTTTAAAATCTGAAGCATCCAGGCTTAGAGGGTGGGTTTGGAAAGGGAAGACATGCTGCTGGTTTTGGAAGCTTTAGAACTTTCTTCAAAATGCAAAGGAAACACGATCAGGAGACATCACTTGTAGCCATGACTCAGCCTGGCCAGGCAAACACCAGCAGTGCTGGGGAGTGATGCAGCACCATCAGGCATTAGCAGAATTCTCTTCTCCCACAGCCTGTGCACAGGCACCAGGCTACCTTCTTTAGTCAGCCTCTAATGTTCCCTTCAGATCACAAGGAGGATGTTGTAGAACTCTAAGAACTATCACAGAGTGAGAAAACTTCTGGAGAAGAGACCTGAACTCATGCACCTGGACCCAAAAGGTCTTTTGCAATTAATCCATAACTTTGCTCAAAATGGCCCAGAATCAAACATTTTAAAAAATAAAACCAAAAAAAGACAAACCCCTCAAAGCTCTTCTCAAATATGCAGGGGCAAACTCCCAGAATCCCCCAAAACTCCATTTTCTGAAAGCTTATGAGCCTGACTGCCCTATGGGCACAGTGTTGTGTGTGTGTCTGGAAGTGAATCAATCAATCAGAGCCAGGCCTAGCAGAGCCCTCCCCTTCACACACATGGCCCATGGGTCTCCTAATGCACAAACAAGTACCATCCCTCTGCAAACAGCATGACAAGCACACTCTATTAAAAAACCACAAATTAAAACAAGGCCAGCTAGGTTTTATGCCAATGTTCTTAGCCACAAAGTCGGTCCCATGAAGCCGTCAATTTACTGAAATCTCAGCCTTCACTTGCATTTTAATGATGGTCTGAGTGAAGATGACCAGAGCCAGACGTGTTTTGCTTCAGAATTGTACACCAAGGACTGTAGTATGACCACCCCTGCATCAGAGCTAATGATTGCTACGTTACCAGATCATAACCGCAGGCACTTAATCAAGGATCTGGAAGACAAGTTACTTCTGTACAGAGCCAGCTCCATGCACTCCTTTGTCCAGCTGGAATTTATCTTCATTCCCTAGTTCAGAAGAACTACTGGTTTCTCCATCAGATCTGCTTACTCAAGCCATGGCCCTGTGAGACAGGACTACAGTGCTGCTGAATGGGAATAGAGAAAGGGAATAGGCCCAAAGGCTGAGGGGGGTAGTATTTATGTTCATTTGGAAGGGGTTACATTGACTATGACTAACAAAACCCCCCAATCTACTTAAGTTGCTGAAGTTTTCTACTTTGATTAACTCCCTTACCCCAGGTGCCAGTTCCTGGGTGCATTGATTCTAGTGACAGAAATAACACCCCAACAGCAGAGCTGTGCAGGGGAAGCACTTAGAGGCACCAGACACCATCTGCAGCTCACACTGCAGCTCCAGACAGACTAACTAGACCGGAGGCTGGCTTTAGCAAGGTCTGTAGCTATTTCCAGCTAATCCCACTGAGCTTAGAGTTTACAGACAGCAACCAAGAACGGCACTGGCTGGAGACAGGGAGACTGGTTTCCCTTCAAGGCCACCTTCAGCAGTGCTCTGGGCCCTCTCCATCACATTTCACTACAGAAAACCGAAGTCACCAAGTAACTAAGTCTTCCATTACCTTCTCTTCTCACATACTTTAGGGTAAAGCACCAGCATACTGCAGCCCTATCACCTTTCCAGTGGAGTAACATCACAGCTTCTTCCCACCATAAAGACATGGGAATAATATCTGTAGTGCAGTGCTCACTACAATTTAACTACTTTGCTACTAATTTCACAACTGAGCCAACTGAGCAGTTTTAAAACCCACCACAGCTTTAATTTGCAAGGCAGAAAGGAATCTTTAATCTGCAAGGCAGACTTCTCACTGCAGCAGAGACTTCCAGTCCTGTAGTCCTCACTAGCAGAACACCTGGTGAAGCTGAGAAATTGTACCTGCCTTGGCACCTCTGCTCTTGCCCTGCCACCTCCTCACTGCTGCTGAAATCTGCTTGGGTCAGGAGCCTCCCAGTTTGGTCTTTCCCCATTCATGCTCCTCCCCACAAGAGAGCATTATTTTTGTACTGAAATCAACTTACAGGGACTTTCAAAGCATCATTGTACAGAGGCTGCTCTATTTTCTAATGAAATCTATAAATTATACTTTTAATAAAGTGTTTTGAAACCCGTCTGGGAATTTCTCCTCCAAACCAGTTGTGTATCCCAACACACGAGCAGTTGTTTGAGAGAGGACTTCCAGGCAGGTGTTCCCAGCAGTAACAGTTGTTCATTCTGGAGCCTCAGTACGCTGCTGGAGAAGCTGAGGAACAGCAGACTGCATGAGTAGCAGAGACATAGCATGAGTAGTGGAATGTGGTATCTGAGCAGGTGGCAGAAGTGCCTGCCCTGTGTACAGATATGTTATCCTGTAACTACAGCTTGCAGAAATATTCATAGGTTTGGGGTTTTTTAAATGTAGGATGTAAGTGCAAGCTGCAGCCCAGTTTAGTTTTAACAAATCATTCCTCCGTAGTGATACTGCTAAAAACCAACCAACCAAATCCACTTCTGCAGAGTCAAGAATTGAAATGTGTTACAGGAACAGTTGTAAACAGAAGTGTTTTTATCCATGGCAAAATCTGAGCTTTCCATGAAGGAAGTTTTGTAACACAGGTTATAAATAATAGGGAAGTTTTTTGACCAGCAAGAAGAAATTTAGAAACATAGGAACAACTGCTGCACCATGAACTGTTTGAGGCAGCCCAGCAGCAGTTACTCAGACTTCTTTCAGAAAGCATGATTCTCCAACAGCCATTTCCCAGAAAACAGTTCCCTCCAGTTTTGGAATAACTATAGTGTCTGTAATGTTTCAATAAGCTTATTTTTCTGTGCAGTACTTTTCTTTATTTCCCAGAGGACACTTGGCCAAGAAAGAGCTCAGCTAGTCCCAATTCCAAAGAGGAGGTATTTCCAACAATTAGCAGCTAATGCTGTTCCACGCACAAACTTGTACCAGAGCTTCCCAAAATGGCCCTGCAAGCTGGATGTGAACAGTAGCCTGACACTGAGGGGCATGTGTAGAGGAATTACAAGAAGAAGAAAAGTGAACGTCTCAGTTCAGGAATAAAAAGGGACAGGAAAAGGAGCCAGAGCACACCCCAGGCAAAGTTTGGTAAAAGACACTCATTTAGTTCAACTGATATAAGAAAATATATATGCCAAAGTCATGACTCTGATTTAAGCATGATCTAGCTATCACTTTATTCCTTGAAACTGGACTCTCCTCATTTCCAGACACTCCTAGGAAAGAGAAGGTGCCTGATGCCTAGAATTTCAGCCTTTCATTTTCTCTTCTGTATTTTAAGGTTCTTACAAACTGACAGGAAGTTTCAACAAGCCAAATTGATTAATTTAGTTACTTTCACTTGTGTTTAAAGGATTTCATAAACATCCCTAGAGCCTTACAACATCCTGGAACATTCGGTTTTGATCTTGGACTAAGCTTGTGATGTATTGGTCCATACTGGTAGGTGAACACCAAAGCCCCTCATGTAGATACAGATACTCTCAGCTGCTCCATATCAGACAGGGATTTCTCAGAGGTCATTAGCTGGTTGATGGTAACTTACCTTCAAACAAGAGTAGCTGCAGCGTGCCCTTTTTAGAAGTTTCATTTCCCCAGGCTCTGGTATTTCAGGCCTGCAGTATGACATGGTAAAAAGCAAACTGGAGGAAAAACAATTTTGTTTTGGATATTTAACTATTATTGTTTACTCATTGCTTCATCAAAGAAGAGAAGAGAAAAATCTCAGGAGGAGCTTCTTTCACACAGACTCTCACCATCCCTTTTTGAGTAGCAACTGTGCAGGCAAGAAAAATGTGTGACTCCGTATTTATTTATTTTAGTTGTGCTCAGAGTTTTACAGGCAGCATCTTCCCTTTAGACCTTCTCAACAGAAATACAAAAAAAGTTTGAAGCCATTTCCCCATTTCCCCACTCATCTCCAATAATCAACTGGGTGAAATGCAGAAACATCTTTTGTTAACAGAGTGGTGAGTTTGGCTTATCCCAGTCTAGAGCTGGGCTTTCTGCTATGGCACAGATCTGTTAGTTTGTAACTTAGAAAACCCAGTCCCCAGAGTCCTGTAACTCTCACCTACTCAACAGGAAACAAATATCTTCTCTAGCAGTGACAGGGACATTCCTGGTAGCTGACACTGTGCAGGGGAAACACTTCCCGCAGGTTGAGTGAGCTGGACCTTCTGCAGAAACTGGGCACCCAATCTGTCTTCATGGGATGGAGAGGAGGCAGGGAACAAACTCTTCAAGGCAGAACAGACTCTTCAAGTAAGTACTGCACATCCTGGTGGACATGCCTGTCTTAGCAGACGGCTGTGGCATGAGGCACTTCGGTCATGGCTGTAGAAAACTGTCCCAGTTCCGTCAACAGAATCACAGGTAAATGTGTTCTCTTTCCTGTGAGAAGTCCCTGAGTTGCAGACCTAAAGGATCTTCCCCCCAAACACACCCTGGTGTCACTAGACCACTGAAAGAAGGAGCCGAGCCACGTCAGTAGCCTGCAGGGAAGCCGCCTTTCCGGGAGTCGGAGGCCGCAGCCCATCCCTTGTCCGTCCTGAGGATGGCCTGAACCACCGCGCCGCCGCTCACCCGCGCCGTGTCGTGCTTCCTCTTCTTCAGCTGGTCTTCTATGCCCTGCAATGCAGAAGGGAGTGAGGACAACAGGAGAAGGAAACTGTACACATCCCACAGCCTGCAACCTGCATCCTCCACAACCACCCCAGTGTTCAGTGCCTGTGTCGTGTAGGTCTAAGTCTGCCTGTTGTTCATCCTCTTCCCTTTGCTTCCTGGGCTGCCCTGCCTTTGAAGAAGTGCAATTGAGATGATGTGCTATTTATGATGTTCACTACCAATACTATCCTTGGTCACAGAGTGTTCCAGCTCAGATGTCCCCATACTGAAGCCAGGACTGCTGGATCCTGTTTGGCAATGGTGGAAAAGACAGGACTTGTAGAGAGCGGGGCATCCTCTCCAGTGCTGGCAGGTATCTACCAAATATTATCATAGTAAGAAGCTTATTAACAGAGGAAATTCTGCATAGTTTGATGAGAAAACCGCCTCATGTAGGAGTGTTATCCCAAGTACAGAGACATAGGATGAAATACACACAAAACCTGCATCTGTCTCAGGGCTCTGTGATGTGTAATTTCTCAGGGTGAATGAAGCTGCCAACTCAGGTGAGTGGCCTCCAGAGTGAAGCAGGCCTTGCCATCAGTTCTCAGACTGACAGCACTGTGCAGAGATCTTTACATATTTTCAAGTTTGTTCCCAGGTCTCTCTGTGCATCCCCCCTCCTTAGCTCTGGGCCAGGGCTTCAGAATTCATCATGAGGTTGCACAATAGGACAGGAGTTTCCTGAGGCTCACTGGTTTAGACTGCTGGATAGTTTGGGCCCTGATGTGGTTTGCTGTTTTGCAAGTCCTTTGAGCCAAACACCACTGCAAGCAGATGCTTGGTTTCAGATGTAGGTCACTCTGCAATGCACTGGCTTCACACCCATGTGAATGAGAGCAAAGGTGCACTTTGAACATCTTATTGTGACCCAGCACTTGATCTGTACCAGCTTTAATACTGCTCACCTAGGGAACATTTGGCAAAACTTCCTGATTTTTCCACAGTTCATGCCTTTCCAGCACTAGGAACCCAGCCCATACAAGTTCACGTGCACCCCAGACCCGGGCGAGACCAACCTTCTCTATTTGCTGCTCAAGCTCTGTGATGTTGGGAAACAGCTGATCATGGACTCTGGGCTCTTCCACTGCTTTCTTCACATCATAACCAAACCAGATGGAATTCATGATTGTCTGTGAGAAGCAAAAAGCCCTAATGTTAGTTACTTGTCTTCAAGGAGGCCTGACCCTTGTAGGCACACAGGCAGAGAAGCCTGAAGGGTGTTCACCAGAGCACGTAAAAGGCACCATTTCTGGTTCATGTGGCTCTCAGTGGTTCTTATCTTGGCTAAGCAAAACACAGGTACATTGCAGGCAGTCAACTTGTATATGCTTAGTAGGATTCACACACAAAGAGACCGCGAGTTACTAAAATTACCATAGTAAAAGGATCAGATCCTTAAGTTACAGTGGTTGGATTTATGCTGCTGTGATTAAGCACCCAACAGTGACCTCAGCAAGCACACAGCTACAGCTTCCTGCTATTGTGCAACCAGTTCTCTTGGGCCTGGCTCATCTCTACGTGCTTGAACTGCAGGCTGGAGCTGCTGGGAAGGGAGAACAGCCTCAGGGTCTGGGGCTTAGAAAGCCACTTATAGTGGTTTTTACTGACTTCTCTACCTCAGCCAGAAAGCCAGATCCAGCTTGGTGCCACTGTGTGTGCTGGCACAGGGGACAGCTTTCTTTTGCAGTCACTTTTAGGCTAGTTGGACATTTGAGTGGCAGCCACAGCAGCTCACAGAGAGCCTGCTTGTCACTGACATCATGCCTGAGCTAAGTTCTTATTAACCTCCCTGCGTGATTTTCATCCAAAGTTTAGGCTGGTGGATGGGAATGGCTCCAAACTAGGTAAAGAGCCTAGTTCATGGAGATCCAGAGAAAAGAATTCAAAGCTAATCTGAAGTCACAAATCTTCCACAAGTGGTAAGAACAACTTGCCAAAGGAAAAGACCTGGAGCCACTGAAGGAAGCAGTCTAATAGCAGACCCTTTGTAGCTCTGGCAAGAGTTGGAGGTCTGGCCCTTCGACACCTCCTTTTCAACCCCTGGCCCATGGCAGGGAGCCACAGCCATAATCGTGTCACAGGTGTAGAACGGAGCCCCAAAAGCTGCCTCTCTCTAGTTTTGCCTGGTGGTGTTCCCCATTTGCCCACACCATCACGTACCAGTGCTGTTGCTGTAGTTATTTTTGTTCCTCCAGAAGCACCAACCACCATCTTGACTTTTTTCGTTTTGTCCACCAAGATGGAGGGGCACATAGAGGACATTGGCTGTTTACCTGTCAGGAACACAGATGCAGCAGAGGCTCAGTTTTCTACCTGCACCTTACAAAATGCCAGCTCCTGCTCCATGTCTAAACCCAGAGCCTCCGTATCCACCTTCCTGACTCAGCTCGTGTGCCTTGTTTGGCCACTGGGGATCCCACCATCCCCTG